TATACATGTATCCAGTCTTTTTCAGATTTCTTCCCATGTAGGCCATTACAGAGTATTGAGTAGAGTTCCCTGTGCTATACAGTAGGTTCTTATTAGTTATCTATTTTATATATAGTGGTGTGTTTATGTCAATCCCAATCTTCCAATTTATCCCTTCCCCCCCTTATACCCTGGTAACCGTAAGTTTATTTTCTACATCTGTAACTCTATTTCTGTTTTGTAGATAAGTTCATTTGTACCCTTTTTTTAGATTCCACATATAAGTGATATCATATGATGTTTGTCTTTCTCCATCTGACTTACTTCACTTAGTATGACAATCTCTAGGTCCATCCATTTTGCTGCAAGTGGCATTATTTCATTCTTTTTTATGGCTGAGTAACATTCCATTGTATACATGTACCACATCTTCTTTATCCATTCCTCTGTTGACGGACATTTAGGTTGCTTCCATGTCCTGGCTATTGTAAATAGTGCTGCAATGAACACTGGGGTGCATGTATCTTTTCGAATTATGGTTTTCTCTGGATATATGCCAAGGAGTGGGATTGCTGGATCATATGGTAGCTCTACTTTTAGTTTTTTAAGGAACCTCCATACTATTCTCCATAGTGGTTGTACTGGTTTACATTCCCACCAGCAGTGTAGGAGGGTTCCCTTTTCTCCACACCCTCTCCAGCATTTATCATTTGTAGGTTTTTTTGATGGTGGCCATTCTGACCGGTGTGAGTGATACCTCATTGTAGTTCTGATTTGCATTTCTCTAATAACTTGTGATGTTGAAGCATCTTTTCACGTGCTTTTTAACCATTTGTATGTTTTCTTTGGAGAAACGTCTATTGAGATCTTCTGCCCATTTTTTTGATTGGGTTGTTTGTTTTTTTGATATTGAGCTGCATGTGATGTTTGTATATTTTGGAGATTCATCCCTTGTAGGTTGCTTTGCTTGCAAATATTTTCTCCTATTCTAATGGTTGTCTTATGGTTTCCTTTGCTGTGCAAAAGCTTTTAAGTTTAATTAGGTTTTTATTTTAATTTTTATTGGAGTATAGTTGGTTTACAATGTTGTGTTAGTTTTACGTGTACAGCAAAGTGAATCAGTTATACATATACATATATCCATCTTTTTAAGATTCTTTTCCCATATAGGTCCTTACAGAGTATTGAGTAGAGTTCCCTGTGCTATACAGCTGGTCCTTTATGTAGTGTGAAGTACTGTATTTCACATTTGAAAGTTGCTAAAGAGAGTAAATCTTAAGTCTCAGCACAAGAAAAAACAATTGTATCTGTGTGGTGATAGACATTAACTAGACATATTGTGGTGATCATTCTGCAATATATACATATTGAATATGTAATATTGAAACATTACGTTGTATACTTGAAACTAATATAAATGATATATGTCAATTATATCTCAATAAAATAAAGAAAAAAAAGGCTGACGTGATGAAGTTTGATCTAGGGACTAGCAATACTGCTAGTATTGCTAGTATTGCTAGTATTGCAACACTAGGGTATCACCCTAGTGTTTGTCAGAAATGCAGGCAGATGGGATGAAGTTTGATCTAGGGACTAGCAATACTAGTATTGCTAGTACTGCTAGTATTGCAACACTAGGGTATCACCCTAGTGTTTGTTAGAAATGCAGAATCTCAGGCCTCATTGTAGATCTACTGAATCAGAATCTGCATTTTAATAAGACCCCCCAGGTAATCTGTATGCACATTAAAGTTTGAGAAGCAATGGATTAGGGGATTTGACGAAGGTGAACATTTTTGCAGTCGGGATATTGACAAATGATTCTGGGTGAATTATCAAGATCAAAGGTTAGCAATTTTTTTTCTGTAAAGAGTCAGGTAGTAAATATATTTGGCTTTGAGGGCCATAGATTCTCCATTACAACCACTCAACCTTGCCCTTGTAATTCAAAAGCAATCAGAGACAATACATAGGCAAATGAGTGTGGCTGTTGAGAATGGCTGTGTTCCAATAAAACTATTTACAAAAACAGGCAGTTGGGTGATTTGGCCCAAGGGCCTAGTTTGCTGACCACTGACCTAGATCGTAATAAAACTGTTAAGTCTTGGTGCCCATGTACAGTGTACTGTTGTCTTCCTCTTTCTGATTACTTACTGTCTCTTGTAAGTACTCCTGCCTCCCTCTCCCCCATTCTGAACACAGTGAAGAACTTGGCCAAGTGATGTCCTGTGGGATCCTAGAAGTGAGAAGGAGAAAATTGAAGTGTTAAAAAGCCAGAATCTCCCTGACACCTTTTTTTTTTTTTTTTCCTGGAAGACCAAGGTATGGGGCAGGCTTCACATCAGCTGGTTCTCTGGAGTTGTTTCCCTTTTATTTTCTCCTGGCCTCCAGTAAACTCATTTTGAGCTTTTCATCTGAGCCAAGAAAAATCAAGCAAAGATATTTTATTCTTGCTTAGACCAGGTTAAGCAATAGCTCCTTGATGGCAGTGGCAGTGTTAATCAGAGAGGAGTTCAGAGGTAACAGGCTCGGGGCTTGCAGGGGTGGAGGGGGCAGAGAAATAATATTTATTGAGCATCTCTTCTCTAACAGTTTACATACATCCTTTGAACCCTTACAGTAAGTTCAATATTATGCTCCCAGGTTACAGATGGAAAAACTGAGACCAATATTGTATCAGACATTAATATAGCACTTACTATGTGCCAGGCACTGCTCTGCTTTACAAATATAAACACATTCAATCCTCACAAGTCTATGAGGTGGGAACTATTATTGCCTCCATGTTATAGGTGAGGAAGCTATGCTATGGAGAGAGGTTAAGTAACTTGCCAGAAGATACTCTACTAATAAAGATAGAACTGAGTTTTTAATCCAGGCAGGGCTGGGACCCAGGTCTGACTCCAAAGTCTTGTTTTTTCCCTCTCCAAGTTTGGGGTTTTACCTATTAAGTAATAACATTTCCTTATAAGTCCCTCACATGAGCTCATAGTTCCAGGGCTCACTATCAACATTCCTATTTTTCTCTACCACAAGATAGTCTTTACTAGTATAAGAGATGCTGTTGCCTGCTTTACAGGCACACGACATTCTGAAATACCTTCCTCAGTGATCTCTCCTAATCCTGAGTCTTGCTGTTTCATCTTTGTTTTCCTGTCTTTCTTGTTTTCTTCTTCTTTCACCCCAGAATATTGCTGAGAATATTGCCAGCATCTCAGCCACCAAGCTAGTGTTATCTTTTTCTTTTCATTGTGTTGTTGGACTAATCCAATTTCTCATTTTCCATTCTTCTTCTCCACTGGATTATTAGATAATAGTAATAAATAATATTTATCTAGATAAATAATCCAGATAGATTATTACAGGATCTTTCAGGGTCTCCCCTTAAAGGGTTTATCCCAATTTTTAGGGCCTAGATCAGGCTCAGTGTGCTTGGCCCTTTGGTAGATAGTGGGTAATAAAAATGTGGAAGATAGCTCCTGCCTTTGATGTATTTACAGTTTAGTGTTTTCCACAGTGATGGGATGTGGTATTGTCTCCTGACCTAACAGTAACATTGCTTACTAATGGTACATAACCAATATCCCCGTATTAGTATTTCTCATGTTTTTCAAATAGAAATTTAGTCCTCCTATACCATAACCTCTTGAATATACTTTCTTTCTCTAGTGTTTTCACTTTTCAATCTCTCCATCAGAACGGAATATGATTATTTTCTTCACATTTGTCTCTGCTGTTAAACCCTCAGTGAAGGCAGAGTCATAACATTCTAGGACTTTCATGATGATAAGGGAGATAGTTTGAGATTTTAAGAAAATGGACAAGTGTTTCCTCCTGAACCTTCAAAAAAGCTTAACCTCCAGGCACTGTTGTAAGTATACAGATGAGAGGTGTGTAAGAGTAAAGACTGCTGGTCTTGGAATCCAGAGACCTGAATTATAGCCGTAGCTCAGCCACTAAAGTGAGAAGGGCTAACATTTACTGAGCACTTACTATATGCCTGTCACTTTTCTATTAACTTATGCTGTAAGGAGGAGGGTACTATTATTCTCATTTTACAAAGAAAGTGAGGCACAGAGCACTTAAGTAACGCTGTGAGACAAGGAATTGGTTTGACATAGGCAGTCTGGCTCCAAATTTGTGACTTAGCTTCTATTCTCTATTACTTCCTGATAAAAAGAAGCTACCATTACTAACATATATGCAACAGGTTCTATACTGGTTTTCTGGAATCTTATCTAATCTTCACTAACAACTCTGAGGTATATACTATTTTTCACAAGGGAGAAAACTAAGGCTCGGAGAAAGATGCCATTACTTGGCAGACTTAGGTTTTGAAACCAGCCTTGAGGCTCCAAAAGCTTCTCTAACCCTCGAGCCACTAATATCTTTGAAGCTGAGTTTTCCTATCTTTAAAATGAGGGTTGTGGAGTAGATGTCTCAGTTCTATGAGAAGGGTGTGAAGAAAAGACAGATGTCCGCAGATGGGTGTGAGACAAGGTGAAATAAAAGCAATCAAGCCATAGTGGCCCAGGGCCCAGCAAAACGGGGGTGGGTGCGGTTACAAATATGAGGAAGATTCCCGCCATGGAGGAGGCCCGGGGTGTTAGACCCAAGCGAGGCCTGTGGGCGAAAACGAGCCTAACATCCTGTCTCTGACCAGTCCGGGAGCTGCCGGCGCGGACCAGCGGCCGAAGGGGAGGAGATACCTCGGTTTTTGTCCGCGTCCCCGGTAAGCACCTCACCCACCCAAATCCTGCTCCACAGTACTCTCCATGAAAGCCAGAGAAGGAAGGGGCGCGGCTTCTCAGCCCGCGCCGCAGAGCGCCACGTCCCTCCTGGCTCACCCTCCTCGGGGCTCCTACGCGTTAGCTCTCCGCACCGCCCGCCTCCAAGCCCTCCGGCGCGGCCTGGTCTCCGCCCTTGCCAATCGGCACCTTCCACTCTTCGGGTAGGACCAATTAGCGGCTGCTGGGGCCCGGGGCGGTCGCCATGGCAGCAAGGAGGCGGGAGCGCGCGGTGGGTAGAAGTACAGAGCAGAGCTACCGGCTGGGGGCTGCAGAGGCAGGTCTGTGCGCTGCAAGCGTTCAGCAGGCGGAGCTTCGCGTGTGGAGACGCGGCTTCGTAAGGCCGGCGGTCTCGAGGTGGGTGAGGATCTGCACCGCGGGAGGCTGGGGTGGGTCCTGAGCTAAAGCTCAGGTATTCGCCTACCCTGCCCCGGCAGTAAGGATGGTGGGAGCTCCACGGTTGGGCGGGCACGGTGGAGAGTGGCTTCCAGCTCGAGCTTGAGACGCGGGGTCTCTTTCTCCGTTCCACTCGCTGCCGGGCACCCATGCTTTCTTTGCGGTCGATGAAAGTGGCAGGCTCCTGGCGAGGAGCAGGCGGGGGGTGAGTGCAGGTCCAAGTCCCAGTCTGGGCTCCAGCCCGGCCTTGGCAGGTTGATGGGCGAGGGAGGTGCCCCCTGGTGAGACTGATGCTCACACCGGCTGAGGCGCAGGAGCTAAGATAGGCCGGTGAATCCTGCTCTTCTGCCGGTTCTGTTCAGCCGGCAACCGCTGACATTAGGGGAGGAGAAAGTTCGTGCCAGGTGTGGTATTGTTTTCCCTAAGTGACAAATCATTAGGTGTGAGATGATGGTACAGGGTTTGAGAAGGATGGTACTTCCTTGTTGCACCTGCTAAATAGTGACTGAGTAAAATGTGGTTATTGTTGTGGTTGGTGCTGGCAGTGGTCTTGGATGGCAATTATTTTATAATGTCAAGAAAGAAAATATGAACATAAACCATTGAACCATTACTCTCATTTCTGGGAGACAGAACCTCTTGAAAGTCTCAGTGTCCACTAAACTCCTAAATTGGATAATGTCCATTTACACAATTGAATAAGTAAGTGCTGCCGTCTACGCCTTTTATTAAGGCTGTTAAATTCATGAGTGAATATGAACACCAAACTATATATTACCTGGGTTAGAAAAGGGGGGAGGAGGGAGAAGGGAGGTTAAATGCAATTATATCTGATACTCAATGTTGTCTGAAGGAGATTGTGGACTTTCCTTATAAGAACTGAAAGAATTGATGAGATATTTGCTTTAAGGAATTCATTAAAAGTAGCATGACTAGTGGTATAATAGATTTGGATCCATTAACTTATAGCTTCTTTTACAGCCTACTTAAATTACTTGTTTCTTAAGACCTTCCCTGGTAAATTCTGTTGAATAGTGTCAGCCAATATCCAGATTCTTGCATCTTGTTCCTCATAGATATTGCCTCGAGACTCATTCTGATTTAAGCCGAGTGTTAGTTCTTGTTTTACAAAACTTGAAAACCAAGTTCAACAAACGTTGAACAAACAGATGTTTCAACAATTCTTCCTCAGTTAGTAGAGTCAAAATTTTAAGAAAAAAATGGAAATTAGAATTAGAAATGAAATCTCAAATAATATCCCTCTTGTTATTAGGGTAAACATAGGAACTTCTGGGCTTTCCTGGTGGTGCAGTGGTTGAGAGTCCGCCTGCCGATGCAGGGGATGCGGGTTCGTGACCCGGTCTGGGAAGCTCCCATATGCCGCGGAGCGACTGGGCCCGTGAGCCATGGCCGCTGAGCCTGTGCGTCCGGAGCCTGTGCTCTACAACGGGAGAGGCCACAACAGTGAGAGGCCCGCATACAGCAAAAAAACAAACAAACAAAAAAACCATAGGAACTACTGTTTCTCATCTTGGTCTTTAAATTCTCCATGATCTGGTCCAGCTTTTCAAGATAAGTGAAAAATTCATTTGTCTCCTTGTGGTTACCTATGTTGTTCTCCTTCTATTCTAGTTTTACCTATTTTGCAAGGGTGAAGTCCATGTTGTGTTTACCTTTCTATGATCTCCCGAGGTACTTATTGTTCATACCACACATTTTGTATATACCCTTTCAGTATGCTTTTTGCCAAGTTGGTTTGTGCTCTGTAAATACCAGTTAAAATGAAATGCACAATTAAGGCAATAAAGGTACCTTTCAAAACACTAGTTATTGATTATGGGCACTAATATAGAGTATCAGTAACATGATCAATACCAGTGTCTTTTTATTTTGGGATATGTTATGTACCTCTATAGACATACCAAACTAATTTTGTGTTATTTAGAATAATATTTAAATTGCTTTCCACTTTCTAAGGACGCTTTAGATGACTGAAGTGTGTAAAAGTGTACTGGGTAGCTGGAGGAATCAAGTGTAGGATTTCAAAATGTACTGAAAATAATTCTTAAAGTCAATAATCTTTTAAGTATTGTAATTGAGTTGACTATATTTGGCATGATAGATGATTAACTTTTTCTAAATAATTGAAGGTCTAGAAAGGGGAAATTGTTATTTTTATATTTAATACATGCAATTAGTTTATAGGCTTTAAAAAACAGGCTCCTAACAATTTAAAATAATTTATTCAAGGAAAAGTGTTGATCACTTTAATGATTTTCAATCTAAAATTTTTAAAAACCACCACAATATGGTAAAAAGTACATTTAATTAGAATTAAATGGCCAGATTCCAATCCTGGCTCTGCCAAATGATCTTGGCCAACTCAGTTAACCTCCCTGTGCCTTATAACCTTTTATAAAAGTAGGGTCTGACCCGAACAACCTCTAAGATCATTTCTGGTCCCAGCATTCTCTGATTTTAAAAATTTAAAGCAGCCTAATGGAAAATGAGATAGCAGTTGCATGCTTTTATTTTTGGCAGTTTTTTGTTTGTTTGTTTTTTCTTTGTTTTTTTGGCAGAGCTTCTTGACATACTGTATTTTAATTATTGAAGTACAGTATGTGTAAATAATGAAGACATTGTAATTTTAATAAATTTAAAATTCTTACTGTTGCTCATATGTTTATTGAGTATACATATGAGCAACAGTATCTGCTTTTCAGAAGCCTTATCATCAAGGATACTGTAGGGGAGAGGGAGAGATAAATTAGGAGTTTGAGATTAACCTATACACACTACTATATATAAAATAAACAACAAGGACCTACTGTATAGCATAGGAAACTATATTCAATATCTTGTAATAACCTATAGTGGAAAAGAATCTGAAAAAGAATAAATATAAATATACATATAACTGAATCACTTTGCTGTATACCTGCAAGTAACACAATATTGTAAATTAACTATACTTCAATTAAAAGAATGGTTAATTTAAAAAAAAGAAGACTGAAATTGTCTTTTAAGGTTGGAAAAAAAAGGCAATATACTGGTTTTCTTGATTGGTGTCCTTTTCTACAGATATGAGCAGCAGAGACGCTAAGATCTATGCTGATATCTTGATACAGGGAAGGGTTGGAGTCCAGCTCAGCTGGTCATACATCTGATGTTTTATTTTTTTTAATTTTTTAATTTTAGAAAGTTTCTTTTTTCATATATTTATTTTATTTTTAGTTTTATTTATTTAGTTGTTTATTTTGGCTGCGTTGGGTCTTCGCTGCTGCTCGCAGGCTTTTCTCTAGTTGCTGCGAGCAGGGGCTACTGTTTGTTGAGGTGCGCGGGCTTCTCATTGCGGTGGCTTCTCTTGTTGCTGAGCACGGGCTGTAGACGCGTGGGCTTCAGTACTTGCAGCATGCTGCGCTCAGTAGTTGTGGCTCATGGGCTCTAGAGCGTAGGCTTAGTAATTGTGGCGCATGGGCTTAGTTGCTGCATGGCATGTGGGATCTTCCCCGACTAGGGCTCGATCCTATGTCCCCTGCACTGGCAGGCGGATTCTTAACCACCGCGCCACCAGCGAAGCCCAGAAGCTCTGTTTTAATTCCAGGGAGGAAGAGATTGTTTTCTTCTTTTGTTGGATGTATTCTTTTCGTTGGCCTACAGCTGCATCAGGACTTTGGCTATGGCAATGCTCAGAGGAGAGCTCTAACATGGCCTTTCAAAAAATGACATTTAAGGTTGTATGTCAAACTGGTTTATTGCTTTTTAAGTTCAATGACTTTGGGTGTTTACAGCACAGATTTAATTTAAATATATAGATATTAAATTTTCAAGACAGGAAGGGCATTACTGTTTATGGAGCATTTACTATTGCCAGTACTGTGCTAGTTACATTGTATTCATTCTTATTTTCATCCAGTCAAAAACTTATGGAGAAGTATTAGTTCAATTTTATAGATAGGAAAATCGAGACTCACAGAGTCAAATAGCTTGCCAGTAAATGAGAGTGTTTAGGATTAAATCTGCTGGGGTTTTTTATTTTATTTTTTTATTTTTTTGCGGTATGCAGGCCTCTCACTGCTGTGGCCTCTCCCATTGCAGAGCACAGGCTCCGGACGCGCAGGCTCAGCGGCCATGGGTTACAGGCCCAGCCGCTCCGTGGCATGTGGGATCTTCCCAGACCGGGGCACGAACCCGTGTCCCCTGCATCGGCAGGCGGACTCTCAACCACTGCGCCACCAGGGAAGCCCTGCTGTTTACTTTTGACCATGCTGTGTTAATAAAAGTCATGTGCCTTTCCGACATATTACATGCATATGATTACTCTCCTGCTTAGATAATTTTATGTTAAATATAGTACCATGAAAAGAAATAAATCTGTGTTCTTAAAACTTGAAGATATTTTATTTCCTTATTTTCTTTACATACTGCTTAGAAGTAATTATGTTCACTGGTGAGTTTGCACATGAGCTAACTGCCTTGTATTTTACAGTTAGGTAGTGGATTTCGAAAAAGATTTTGAGATGTTTTGCTTTATTACTGATCACTATGTCTGAGGCTGGGGCCAAGGTTAATTTTTAAAAGTGGTGCTAAGATTAAAAAAAGATTCCAGGTAAAGATTTTAAGAAAAATTCCAATTAAGGATTTAATGGGGAAACTTACCCTATATATTGAAGTCTCATTGCAGAGGAAAATAAGCTTTTAATTTGAACTTTTCTTAGTTATTTAAAAGAGGAGCAATATGGTAAAACCTGGGTACAATAAATGAGTATCTTTGCTTATTCTGGTCTTTGATTCTGTTTAGTTAATATATTTCTTTCCCTTCCCCCACTGGAATATGATACAGTCTCATTCCACTTTATAGAAATTTGGCACCTTTTCTTATCACAGGATTTGACAAATGTTTACACTGTCATGTGCCATTACCACTGTAATAAGGCTAAATTTATGTTTATTTTTAATTTTTTTTTTTTTTTTTTTACATATATTTAGAACCTGTTAAGAGTCAGTTCTTGCAAAAAAGCATTGAGCCAGGAGCCAGACCCACCTCTTCACTAACTGATCTTGTGCAAGTCATCTTACCTCTCTGGATCTCAGTTGCCTGATCTGTAAAAAGGAGATAAAAATTCTTTACCTGTTTGAAGGTAAGCGATCAGTTAAGAAAGCAAAAATGAAAACAGACTTAGTGGTGGCTTCAACATAAAATATTTATTTTCTCGCGTAAAGTAATTCTTGAAGTAAGCAGCCTAGGATAGGTGTAGTAGCTTCATAAAGTCACCAGGGACCTAAACTTTTTCCAGTTCTTTGATCTGCTGTTCCTAAGATGTGGCCCTGGTCCTCGTAGTCCAAAATAACTGCCAGAGCTCTAACTGTCAAAGCAGAGTTCCAGGCAGCAAGGCAAAGACAAAGAAGGATGCATCCTCTCCCTTTAAGGAGATTATCCTGAACCAAAGCTCAGGCTACCAGGGAAGCAGGGAAATGTAGCTGGATACATGGCTGCCCTGAATAAAACTGGGCTTTTGTTATTGAAGAGGAAGGGAAGATTTGGATATTGGCTGGGAAATAGAAGTATTTGCCACAATATGGATCTTTTTCTCTTTCATCTCTGATATCTGTAAGCTGTGATAACCACTCAAAGAAGCTTCAGTAGTTTGCCATGGCAGAGCTCTAGTCTGACCATTGTCTCTAGAAGGAAATAACTTTCATCTAATACACTGTTTTTCTTTTGTTATGTTTATCCCATGATTCATTATAGAAGGTTTTCTGTCTTGATTGGGTATTTGTTCTGGTTATTTAAAAAAAATTACCCATAAATGTTCAATAGTAGATGTTGGTTGTGTAGCTAACATTTATTGAGCCACTTGCTTTATGCAAAGTACTAAAAAGACAGAGATAAGTTATCCTAAGAGTATCACATAATAAGTCATCAGGAAGTAAATTTATGTTGAAAAGTGTAATCCACCTTAAGATACATTTAAATTCAATGTTGTCACGCAATGAACATTTTTACCTTTCTTCTTGGTTAAAAGTTGTGGTTTTTTTTAAAACAACTTAACTGTTAACCGTCTTGAAATTTCCTCTTACTTAACTACTAGCCCTTGCTTAACTTACTTAGGTATACCAATATTTTATTTCCTTCCAGACCTTTTTGGGTAAATATTATGTAAATATACCCTATACTTGTCACATGAAATGATTCAATTACCATTATATCTGTAAAGAAAGTGAATTGAAATAAAGTTTTGAGAAAAGGAAACTGAAATTTAGGAAATGGAAATTGGATGGGGGAAGAACCTAAAGATTCAGTGAATCTTTTAAGAATACTAGAAGGAATATAAGGAGCAAATTAAGACATTTAGCATTTTTAGTCACCTGACTGAAAACGTCTTATTTGCTGAATACTATTTTAATGCCTTAAAATTTTTTCAATTAACAGAAAGGATCATGCTGCATGTTGCTTTGTAAGCAGCTTTTTTCAAATTGCAATTGTTTACTTAATAGGCTGCCTTCCACACTAGATTGAAAACTCTGTGAGGGTAGGGACCATGTCTATCTCACTTACCTTTGTATCCAGCATAATGGCTGGAATACAGTGAGTACTTAGTAAATATTTGTTAAATTAATAAATAGCATACAACAGATTAAAGAAAACATACTTCAATTCAGTCTTAAATTTAAAAGGAATAGGAGTAAAAGAGGAGCATTGGGGGAGGGAGAAAGAGATGGATGAAGGAGGAAGAAGAGAAACAAAAGGAAAGAGAGACAAACTAGTTTCAGTTTTTTGTACTCTTCACACTTCTCACCCGTGACCATGCTTTTTAATCACTTCCAGGGTTTTTCTCCTTACAAACAAGCAAAACAGGAAACTCTTGAGAAACGCACACACACATACACACCCCAAGTAAACTTAATCTGGATAATTACTGGTACGAATCAGTAGTTGAGAAATGTGCCTCTGTTTATGAATGGGAATTTTGATTTGGTGGAGACAGGGAAGGAGAGTTAAACTTATTTTTAGGACTTGGACATTTAGGGAAATTATTTTGTATCTACTGCATGTTAGGAGAGGCTTAAGAACTCTGCTTTTTTTTTTTTTTAATTTTGGCTGTGCTGGGTCTTGTGGTGCACGGGCTTCTCCCTCTTTGTGACGCACAGGGTTAGTTGCCCCGCGGCATATGGGATCTTAGTTCCCCAACCAGGGATTGAATCTGTGTCCCCTGCATTGGAAGGCAGATTCTTAACCACTGGACCACCAGGGAAGTCCCAAGAACTCTGCTTATTTTGTAATTTTTCTTGAGGCTCTAATGCCTTTGGGATCAGTGCTTTCCATGCTCTCTTTTTTTTTAAATTTATTTTTTGGCTGTGTTGTGTCTTTGCTGTGCACGTGCTTTCTCTAGTTGCGGTGAGTGGGGGCTACTCTTCCTTGTGTTGCGCAGGTTTCTCATCGCGGTGGCTTTTCTTTTTGTGGAGGACGGGCTATAGGCACGCGGGCTTCAGTAGTTGTGGTGCATGGGTTCAGTAGTTGTGGCTCACAGGCTCTAGAGCGCAGGCTCAGTAGTCATGCAGCAGGGGCTTAGTTGCTCTGCGGCATGTGGGATCTTCCCGGACCAGGGCTCGAACCCATGTCCCCTTCATTGGCAGGTGGATTCTTAACCACTGCACCACCAGGGAAATCCCTCCATGCTGTCTTGAGATCACTGCCTGATTTAGAATTTCACATTATCCTACTTCAGAGCGTTAATTTTCAGTCTATCCTGGTTTGGATCAGTCTGCTGTGTCAGCCAGCTAGTTTGGCCCAGTATTTCCTCTTTAGGACTCTGTTCTTATGGAAGAAGAGAGTGATAAAAGAAAGGAGAAGGCCATTCTTAACTAACCTGATAGTGGAAGAGAAGTAAATTAGTCTCCCTTTCTTTCCATTGCCTCTCCTTATCGTTCATCTCTCCTTCTTTTGTATGGACATTTGTATATTATTGGGTTAATGAAAATCTGTAAACCTATCTCTGACACATTTGACATTATCTTGGTATTTAAAGACATCTTTGTATCGTTACTTTTCTACCTAATGAGCTAGAAAAATTTTCATTTCTTTTGTTATAACAGTTAACATTTATTGAGGGCTTATTAAGGAGTAAATGTTTTAATTAGCTATAGACTTCAGTAAGTTAATTGTCCTAATTATTCCTAGAATAAACAGTAAAAGATTAGAAACTAATAGAAGGGGAAAATGTATTTTAAAAATTCCTCATCAATCAAAAACAAAATTTTAAAAAACAGGCAAGAAAGGAGAGGAGATAAATATTAAAGGGGCAGGATAAATAGAAAGCCCAAAAGAAGATGGTGTTTCATCAACTCTAGACTCCATTGATATTAAGACACGAGTTTATACTATATAGAACACATACTGCCAGTTAAATTATTACACTGTGCTTTATCACTTATAATTTCATTTTGTGTTTACCGAAAGTGCTTTTTAAGATTCATTTAAACATATAGATTTTTCTCACATCACTTTTGCAGATACATAAAGAAATTACAAGTTAAATAAATTGGTTAAGGTATTCCTAAGGCTTTTTCACATTCATAGTCTGAGTCTTTTGAAATGCTTTCTTGATTCAGAATTGTGAATGTTTGTGTTTTCCCACACGACATTGTTCTCTCTACTGTGAAGAGTGAGGGTAATTTTATTCTGGGAATTTCTTTAAGACCATTTGCCTGGAATTTTCTTCCAAGCCTCTGACATTCATTTTGCAAGCTTTGATGCCAGTGCTTTTCAAAAGATGACAGTGGAAAGTTGTCAGATTCATCTTCTTTCCTCAACCTCTCCTTCAGTGGTTTATTGACTAAAATGTTGAGGGGTTATAGTTTGTCTAGACATGGCATCAGGAATAACATCAAGTTGTGATACCTTTCCAGCAACCTATTCTTTTTTTTTTTTTTTTGCGGTACGCGGGCCTCTCACCGCTGTGGCCTCTCCCGTTGTGGAGCACAGGCTCTGGACGCGCAGGCTCAGTGGCCATGGCTCACGGGCCCAGTCGCTCCGCGGCATGTGGGATCCTCCCGGACCAGGGCACAAACCTGTGCCCCCTGCATCGGCAGGCGGACTCTCAACCACTGCGCCACCAGGGAAGCCCCCAGATTATTTTTAAAACAATCCCAGGCATCACGTATGCAGCCTCAGAATGCATCAAGAACTAAACTCATACCCTTGGCAGACCACGAAAGGCTCTTGAACATTCAAACCAGATTTAGCTAGCCTTCCTTTAACTCAGCCATAATCCCTCTTTTACATACACAGTAACGTTTTTGGGAAATGCTTTTGTAGTTTAAAATTTAATATGGCAGCAACTTTTGGCCATAGGTGCTCATGCTAGTGTTTCAGTGATATGCTATTCCCTATGTAACCCATTCTCAGGATATCGATCTCTTTAGTACCTTTAGCATTAGCATATCATTTTGAGGCCTGTGAAGAACATCAGGATTTTTTCAGCATTTCCTATTGACTAAATTCAGCTTTGTTTCTTCGTCAGATTACATGGAAATCATGCAGCTTCTGTTTAGTCTTGATAGGAAGTCTCTGACAAATTACCATTTGCCTTAACGATTCATGAATCCATCAAATCAGCCTCATGTTCTATAATTTATTTTTTATTTGTTGGAGGCATTGTCAGTTTCTACTGCCTTCACTTGCATTGTTTGGCTGCTCATAGATAATCTTGTTGCATCTCAAAATGTAAGGCAGCTTTGTCTATTTGTTGGTATCTTCCTGTCTAAAAGTCAGGTGAAGCACTTAAATGTTCTTTTACAAGAAAATGTAAAGTTGCTGTTATTCCTTTAACATCAAATATTTGCCTCACTAATATCAGCTGCTTCATTTCTATGTTTACAAAATATTTTTTTTTTTGGCCGCGAGGCTTGCGGTATCTCATTCCCCGACCAGGGATTGAACCTGGGCCACGGCATTGAAAGCCCAGAATCCTAACCACTAGGCAACCAGGGAATTCCCCAGAATAGGTTTTCATTTCAATGCCAAATCACAATTTAATCCTTTTGAAGATATTTTAAATGGCAATTAAATTCAATTTCTGAAGTACCCAAAATGCAAAAACTCAGTCTGAAGTGATGGAAGTAGGAATAGCTATAATAA